AGCTGCTACCGGAGCAAATGGTACATTATATTGACTGAAATGTAACAAAATATAGTCATTCAGACGCAAAGAGACCAAAGAAACGTAAAAATCATTCAAGAATCCAAAAATTCACTATACCCCTGAAGATGAGCGATTTGCTGGTCTTTTTGTTGTATGTCATTCTCTAATTCTTGTAGACGTGCGGCAATTCATCCGCGGTAGCGGTAAACTTCCTGAATGACTGCATCTCTGTGATTCGTCTCGAAACGAAATGACCTACCTGGCAGAGGAGTATCTCTATATTCCCGATTCAACGTTGCCTTCCCGTAATTGTGTACGAGATGTCAAAACGTTTCGATTTGGGAGAGAGGGAAAAGTTTCCTCCACTGAAAATTCTCCACATATACGCGATTACCATCACTGCGACAAACTGCACAAAGAGCTCCTTCATCCATCTCTGTTGAATATACTATGCAAACGAAGGATATGAATCAGAAAATGGAAAAAATGGACGAGGAAGCTTTGAAACAAATTTAGCTAAGCCTCTCTATCCAAATTTATGTGTCTCCATTTCAATTTTTGAGAGTCAAACAGTTTAAGTTTGACCGCAAATTTTCAATTTTTTAAAATAAAATTTATATATTTATAAACTACGTAAAAAGTACTATAAGTCACAATAACTGATAATTCAAAATGTTTAAAGGATCTATAAAAATTTTACGATCAAAGATATACTTGTTTGAATCTTGAAACCAAAAAGTGTCCCATAAAATGGGATGGAGGGGGTATGTTTTTTTAAAAATTTACAAAACTGGTTAAACGTATTCCTGAGTAACGTTTTAGGTTATATTATATTTATAAAAAATTGACGTGTAAAATATATATGTTGACGGTGTTAAATAAGGAAATGTTATCCGGTAACATTTTAAGCATAATACAATACTGTCAAATACGTTTTATAATTCGTTACTAAAATATTTGTATTTAAAAAATAAAGACCAAATCTGGTAAGTTTTTGAATACTTAAATGACTAAAATCGGTAAGTTTATAGTTAAGGGACTAAAATCGGTAAGTGTATAGTTAAGAGACCATTTTAGACCTACTCCTAAAGTTAAGGACTATTTATGTCATCTTCTCGTTTATATACATTTAAAAGATGGGTTAAGTGGTTAAAAGAGAAAAAATGAACAAAAGGTATCTCTTAATTTTATTTAAATTTGGTCAAACCCATCGGTTGCCCCCTAAAATTGACATTAACTTTCACTTAGACATCTCAATTGAGTGATGTTCATTTTGGAAACCTCATGTACGGTTCCGCTATTTTCCGTTGTTCTTAGAGCTATCAAAATGGACTGGGCCAGCCCAATCTGATCCAACCCTAACAGGCTAAAGAGTTAAATAAGTTGGAACGGGCTGACTCTTTTAATTAAAGGGCCTATAAAATAGCAGTTGCGGGCCACGGTTTGGGACGGGTTGACCCCTCAACTTAAAAACGGACAACATTTTCTTCTTAGAAAGATTACGAACGTTGATGTCCGATGAACACGACATCAATACATACATAAATTCATTCATGAATTACACATACTTTGGTGAATATTTACAAAACAAATACATAATAGTCAAGATACAACATTCGTAAGATTCATCCGAGCAAAAAAAAGTACATGATCACTATTTTCATAAACAAGACAATTAAGGAGAAATGAAAAGTTAGGCATAAAAATAAAAGTAAAAGCGATCAAAGATTCAAAGTTATAATGGAGCAATGAATTTGGGCTAGTAAGAAAATTTAGTGGGCTAATGACCCTAAAATGTAAAAGATATGTAAAAAATACAGTCTTGATTTTATATTGATATTTTAAAAATATTTATTGACAAAATCTTAACAAGTAAAACATTACTTAAAATATATATAATATATGTTTCTAAAATTCAAAGCCTGTGGGCTAGCCTATGAGGCTTGCGAGTTGGGCCTATAAGGTCAGCGGGCCAAATGAGGTTGGACTAAAAAGTCTCGTTCCTAATTGGGCTGAAAAAATTGATCTCAACCTCATTTAATTCAAGGGTTGGGTTGGGCCGGCCTAGTGGGCCAAGCCTATTTTGACGGCACTAATTATGCTTAAGAAAAAAATTACCACTCATAGATAAGTTAACAGAACACCTCAAATAAACAAGAAATTTGATCGTAGCAACAAATTTGCTGGCATTTCAAAAAGACAAAACAAATCAAATTTCAAATTGAAGGCAGCCGATAATTGAGATCGTTAATAAGAGAAATAGGCAAAAACGTTTTACATGGTTCGGTCATTAGACCTACATTCACCACCAGAAGAGATGAGTAATTCAAAATTTGAGAAATTTAGCAATTTTGAAACTGCACTATAATTAACTCAAAAGCACCAGAGAGAATAATCTCATGGAATGCCGAGTCTGGAACCATAAGGGCAAAAAAAAAATTGCCAAAATTTCCAAAAGTTCACTTCAAGTTTTTTTAAACCAAAAGGGCGAAAATCACTGTTGATGAAGCAATTTTTCTCTGATACAATATTGGCGTTGTTACTCCGTTAAAAATAAAAATCACTGCCCTAGCAGAGATTTTGTCCAAAACTTTTTATTTCTTTTTTTCACTAAAATAGCTGACACAACAAGGAATATTTAAGTCCAATTTGTTTTCTCCAACTAAAATCGTTGACAAGGCAACAATTTTTTTTAAAAAAAGATAATTTGTTTTTAATAAAATCGTTGCAAAAGCAACAATTTAATTTTTTTTTAATAAAAACACTGTCAAGACAACAATTTTTTAAAAAAAAAAAAAACACTGCCAAGGAAGTGAATTTTTTTTAATAAAAACGTTGCCCTCGATTTTCAAACTTTTTTTTAAGAAAAACGCTGTCAACGCAGATTTCAAAAAAAAATTAATAAAAAAGCTACAGAGGCATCGATTTTCTTGAAAAAATTTTTAAACGCTGCCATATCAACGATTTTAGTTGGAGAAAAAAAACTGGACTTAAATAATCATTGTTGTGCCAGCGATTTTAGTGAAAGAAGAATTTTTTATTTTTGACAAAATCGCTGGTAGGGCAGCGATTTTTATTTTTAGCGGAGTAACCGCGTCAATATTGTGTCAAAGAGAAATCACTTCGTTAGGAGCGATTTTGCACTTTTGGTTTAAAAAAAATTTGATGTGCCCTTTTGAAATTTTTGACCAATTTTTTTTTTACCCTTTTGGCTCCAGACTCATGAAATGCCTAACTACAATGAATTTCTTACAAAGTCGAATTGAGTATGATGCCTACATATTTCAATTATACGTGTTGTGAAGTAGTTGTTGATGTCGATTGCAAGTATTTTGACATAAACCAACTGTTAATTGATTACGATGTTGAAGAAATTAACATATTTTACATAGACAGTTCAAGCAAAGTATTCTTTAAACACTAAAATAAATCCCATTTGTTGCTCCATTTTATTTTATTTTGACAATGTTTAATTGATCACGATGTTGAAGAAATTAATAAAAGAAAAGTGCCAAGTATATCCATTATTTTTTAAATTTTTTTTGGTAACAACTGTAAAAGATTACCATACCACCAAGAACAATTACAACTTAAAGAGCATCGATTCTGATAACAGAAATAGGCCTCCAACCAAGCAAAAACTAATTACAAAGTAAATGCTGAATAAAATCTCTACACTTGTGTGCTTTCTTAGACTTATTAAGTAAAAATAATCTTCCTATAACTTCCTTTTTTATTATTACTTTGGCATGTTTAAAAATAGAAAAAGAAGGGATTAGAATAATGTTTGTCGAATTTAAGCTTTGTGGGCTTACAGTTCCTAAACATCTTTACATTATATTAAGCTGGTTAATTTTAACTAATAATATAAAATGTTTGAAGATTGGTCTAGTAGTAGAATCTCTTTTGTAATTACAGTTACAAGTCACTAGAAAAGCAAAAATCATATGGGATAAGCCATGTTGGTTTTGGGTTACGTGGCCTTGCTAGGTTAACAATTAAAACAAAAAAGAATAATATACTAGTAATTCTTTTGTAGGGTAACGTTGGTACATAAATTATTTGTGACGATAGATTTTATTTTCTCAACAACCCTCAGAGAAAGGGAGTGCCACATTGTCAAAAAAGACGGTCCAAAGAGTTAAAATTCCAGCTATTGAACAAAGATGTATCACTAAAATCCGTCACTTTCGAATCACTCGTGTAAAACCAACATGCCTACGTGTTTTCATTTTTTATACTCATATGAGTGGAAACTTTGTAGGTAAGCTTTTCTACCTTTTTTCAATTGTAAATACAACCTTTGTTGGTTCACATATTAGTTATGTCGAAATTACAATACCAAAGTCAACAAACGTCAAGCAAAATAAAATGAATACAAGTACATATGCAGGTTCATTTAACACTTTATTATCTTCTGCATTTTCCCGATACCTTCAACCAAATGCACCTTAAAAGAAAGAAGAAAAAAATCCAATTTAATTAGATTTGCCAAGTCTCCAAAATATTTTATGTAAGTTTTGGGAAAAAATTATAAGTTGAACAAAAGATTGTATAGCATGTACAGGTTGAGCGCCGGTTTGATACTCTGTCACAAACAAGATATATTGTAGAGTAGTTTAATTGACTAAAACACATTTAGATAAATCAATGAATTTAACACAAAGTCGAATTGAGTATGTTGCTACATATTTCAATTAAGGGTTGCAAAGCAGTTGTTGAGGTTGAATTGCAAGTATTTTGAAATAAACCAACTGGTAAAGTTTAGTGAATAATGGATTATTATGTTGAATTAGCTATTTATAAAGAACCATATTGTAACAACATTAGTAGTACACTAATACCTAAGAAGATGTAAAATTTTGACATCCTAATTCCTTGCAGTTGCTAATGCCTCACAGATCAAACATCATCTTATTCTTCCTTCAGGTTACAACAATACAATACTATATACATGGAGAATCCCCAACCGGCCCCCAGGCCACCAAAAATAGAACAAATGATGGGGCAATTGAAGTTAAAAGATATCATTTGAGCAACTTTTGTACGCTGCCAAAACTTCTGAGAAATTTTGCTGAGAACTTCTTAATTTTCATGGAATTCTGCTTGGCTTTTTCCTTGGATTCTTTTGAATCTTTATTTGCCTTCTTCTTCTTGGCCTCTATCAAAGCTTGAATTAAGTTATCCAAGCAAATTTGAGGCCCTCCAGAAGCATTCTTAAGCATCAAGTGCTCAGCCACATCACAAGGACTCATATCTACTTCCTCGAGTAAACCTTGAATCTGTTGAAACAAAGTGTGTGTTTCCAAATTCAAGTAATTCTTAGCCAACACTTTGAATGCTTCATATCTGCAATAAGACATCTCAATGTGCATATCCATACGTCCTCGTCGTATTAGAGCTGGATCAAGTTTTTCCTTGTGATTTGTCGTAAATATAATAATTCTCTCTTGACCACAAGCTGACCATATTCCGTCAATGAAATTCAACAGCCCGGAAAGTGTGAGTTTGCCTGTTTCCTTGTTTTCCGTACTTTCTTTTTCTTTTTCTGTAGAGGAGGAGTCCGAATCTTCTTCCTGATCTTCACTAGTTGTTTCATTTTCCTTTTTCTTTTTCTTCTTTCTCTTGCCAGTGAGATCGATAGAACAATCGATATCTTCGATGACAATGATGGACTTGCTCGTTGTTTCCATGAGCAGTTTTTTAAGCCCAGAGTTATCCTTAACAGAGGTTAGCTCAAGATCATAAATATCATAATTCAAGTAATTCGCAATAGCTGCAATCATTGTTGATTTTCCAGTTCCTGGTGGACCATAAAGAAGATAACCGCGCTTCCACGCCTTTCCAACTTTAGAATAATAATCCTTCCCCTTGCTGAACGCAATGAGATCGTTGATTATTTCCGCTTTCTTCTTAGGGTCCATAGCCAGAGTATCAAATGTTGCAGGGTGCTCAAAATTTATGTCTCTCCACATACCTTTACCATACCAATACCAATCATTACTACAATTGTTTGAGTAAATCTTTTGTTTCCTGTTTAGGAACTGAATCGCCTTGCCTTCTTCCGTGATATGGTTCAAGTATTTTCCGGTAACAATTTCTCTGTCTCGTTGATTGAAAGTTAATCTGTAACTTTTCTTTTCCATTGGAACGGAATTAGACCGGCTAGACCGGTGGCCTGAAAAATCATCGGACAATTTTACAGAGTAATTGCGCCAACTGAATTTTGCACCTTGAAATTCATCAGTAATTTCTTCTCCTTCATCCAAGCTAACAGCAAAAGACTTGCTGTTCTTAGACTTTTCAACTTTGAGCAACTTAGCATCCTTTTTTATGGACTTAGTACCTAAATAAGAGTTGATATGACTGTAGATTTCATTTCTTTTACCATTTGAAAATTCATCAATGGTAATTTGTACGTAAGGGTAGAAGTGATTTTCTACTCTGCGCCATAAGTAATCGAAGCGCTTGCTGAGTGCAGGGGGAAAGTATTGCTGAATTATGCCCCATATTAACATCAGTCCAGCAAACTTGGACCCTAATTCAGTCAATGATGTTGTCATGGTGTTTTTTTCTTTTTTTAGGTGAAGATTATGAATGGGACTATGGGAGCTGAGTAATTTTATCATGATTTGAGAAGTGTATAAGTTCAACTATATATATGGCTAAAGTTATACTTGAAGCAGTGTCTGCAGCGTGTAACGCAAGGATATTGACCGGTTCAACGCGGCAACAGTGAAGTAATAAATGACGGTGATATTTTTGTATTGCGAATTGCGTCATCAAACTGTATCATCCTGAAAACTTCGAAGTATAATATATAAATTTTTCTTTTAACTTGGTCTATCTTGTGTTTATATTATTCAATTTTAGGTTGGTATAAATAGACAGTTAAACTTATATATAATTGAAAAAACCAACAAATATATTAATATAGATACCACCGACTAACGTTAAATTAAAAGACATAATTATATATCATCCAAAAAAAAAAAAAAACATATTTTACAAAGCAACTCTTACTAGAAAGGCAACAAAAGATGGTCCAAATGTTCAGCTATGAAACAAAGTAGAATTGCTAGTCAGTTTCTAGAGACTCGTGTAGAAATAGCTATATGAGCCAAAACGCACTAGACTGGAAACTTCCTTAGCTAAGCTTTTCTACCTTTTTTTCAATTGTAAATTCAAGTGGGCGTCGATAAGGGCCGACTCTATGCCAAAGCAAGTAAAGCATATGAGTTAGGTCTCCAAAACTTATCTCCAACAAAAGATTACGTGTTACTATTTTTTTTTAATTGAAAAATTAAATTTTTATGATAAAAAGTATATTTTATTTAAAATTTGTCAACTTATTACTTTTAAAACTCCGTTTGTATATTTCGATTGCTAATATATAAACAAGAAAATTTATTAGTAATATTTTATAAATCGTATACAAATAGTTAGGGGTAAGCATATTCAAATTTCAAGATTTATACAATCATAGACCAAATCTTTCAAATTTTGATTGGGAAACTTACATAAATATACTATATTAAGAAAATATTTACCATTTATAGCAAAAAAAAATTATTTACACTTGATCAATTTAAATTTATTTATAATACAATTTAATACATATACAGATTTATCATAGTATTGCTATATATTGCTATAAATGGTAATAAATAAAAAGTATTGCTAAATTCAATAATTATTTATTAAAATGTACCTATTAAAGTAATTTTTCCAATTTTTTGAATTTATACAAATCATACGGAATATACAAATCAGGCGAATAGCAAAGATTGGATGAAACTATAGTCACAAATAAGAACTTTCCTAAACAATAGCAATATCATTTAATATAATTTAAATGTTTGTTATTCTGCCAAATTTTCCCTATATAAGGTGATACTATAAATTTTCGTATTATTAATGCATGCAAGTTCATTTAGTATTAGGGGTGTGCATTCGATTTTTTTGTTTGATGTTGTACTATTTGGTTTGAGTTTTTCAATTTTTTATTTTGAAGAAGTGTAACTCAATCCAAACTGAAATAATTTTGGTTTGGTTTTTTTCGGTTTGGTTATTCGATTTTATCAATAATTAGAAATATAATCAAAGTTATATTTGTAATTTGAAAAAATATAATACATATATACAAGGAGGAATAATAATATTGAATCTCTTAAATATACTTTCTAATATAAATCACAAGTAAAAACGTAAAACACAATACTTCAAATTATATCAATTATACATGTCCAAACATAAAATATAAACTAAATCATAATAAAAAAAATAACTAAAAAAGGATAAAAATGATTAACTCCAACCAGAACATTAAAAGAAGAAAAAGACAAGTTGATGAATTTTGCAAAATGTCCAAAATATTTTGTGAAACAATTATAACTTGAACAAACAAGATAGTATATAATTTGTAGTATTGTTGAATTGACCAAAAGACATTTAGATACATTAATGATACAAATAGTTTGCAAGACTATTGAGGATTTATTCCTAGAAAATCACCAGTGAACTTCTTCGAACATCCTATATGTATATTTTATATATTTGCTTTTGTTTGGATATATATATTACTTTACTATATAAGAAGAGTGAATAAAATTCACTCTTCTTTCGACACGTGGCACCATGGCCCACCTACTTTTATTTTATTTAAATCATATATCATATATATTACTATATATAATATAATAGTAATATATATATATATATAATAAATATAAGAAGAGTGAATAAAATTCACTCTTCTTTCGACACGTGGCACTAACATGGCCCACCTACTTTTACATTTGGTTTTTGAAGATGGCCCACCTATCACAAATATGGCCCACTACTTTTATACACTCCTCTTTCATTATATTTTAATTTTTTCCTTTTTAAATAGTACTAAAAAAAAATTTAAAATATCACAAATTCGATTAACTCTCAAAATTTTACGCGAATTCTATAATTAAGACGAAGGGAATAACATATATTATTTGAAAAATTACTATATAATTACTACTCTTCTTATATAGTAATATTTTAATTTTTTCCTTTTTAAATAGTACTAAAAAATAAATTTAAAATATTACAAATTCGATTAACTCTCAAAATTTTACGCGAATTGTATAATTAAGACGAAGGGAATAACATATATTATTTGCAAAATTACATTAAGAATACCATAAACCACAATAGTTAATAACTTACAATATTTGAAAAACATATTAACTCTCAAAATTTCACATGTGTCACATAAATTGGGACAAATGGAGTAACATATATTATTTGAAATTACGTTAAGAATATTATTAATCACAACTTAAAGTATTTAAAAATACATAACATATATTATTTGAAAATAATGTAAAAAATATTATAAATCATAATAATTAACAATTTAACGGATATTGTGCCCGTGCTTCCATTTAGAAGTGAGAATGTTTAGGAGCTTAGGGTTAGTCAGTCAATTGACCGATTTGCCCTTCTTCTTCAACTTCCTCTATTTACTACAAAAATAGTACTAAAAATCAATTTAAAATATTGAAATTTCACATGTATTGCATAATATAATAGAGTGAGTAACATATATTATTTGAAAATTATATAAATAGTATTAAAATATAGTTTAAAATAGTACTAAGAATTTGATTAACTCTCGAAATTTCATATGTACTGCGTAATTGAGATTGAGTGAGAAATATATATTATTTGAAAAATAGAATAAATATGTGATATTATTAGAAAGAGCTTTAATATATATTTTAAAAATTATTTTGTCTTCCGTATATGATTTTCTGCATATATGTGGAGTTTTAAAGTTTTTAACATTTTAATATAGAAATATGATTATTTGAAAATTTTAGTACTTTCTTCATTTAAATTTTTCCTTGTTTTTCTTTTAATTTGTTCTAGATTTAAAAATTACATAAAAAGTACTTAAAATCACAATGTAATAATATAAGATATTAAAAAAACATAATTAAAAATCATAAAAGAAATTTTATTGACTCTTTAATTCCATATTGAAACAAAAGAAGTTTGTTTGAAAATAACATAAAAAGTAACGTAAATTAAAGTAAAATAACAACTAAAAATATTTAAGAATCATATAAGAAATTTAGTTGAGTTTCGTAAAAGTACCTACGTCACATAAAATGGAACAGAAAGAGTAATATATATTATTTGAAAATGATATAAGAAGTGCTATAAATCACAATAAATTAACAACTTCAAAATATATTGAACAAAATCACATACAAAAAATTATATAACTCTTCAAATTTCATCGGTGTCACATAAATTGAAACAAAAAACTACTCCCAATTTATGTTATTTACTTTCCTTTTTAGTCAGTCCCAAAAGAATGTCACATTTCTATATTAAGTAACAATTTGATTATAAAATATTTATTTTACCCTTAATGAAATAATTTACAGTCATACAAATTTATATCATTCATTTTGGACCACAAATTTTAAAAGTCTTCATTTCTTTTTTAAACTCCGTGGCGAATCAAACTACCTCACATAAAATGAGATGGAGGAAGTAATATACATTGGGCCCGCGCTGGCGCGGGAACCTAATAACTAGTATATATATAATTGCAAAGTAGTTAAAAGACAGTGTGAAAAGAACCTTCTCTTTTCTTTTCTTTTTTCATTTCTAGATGACCGATGAGTTAAAAAATATATATTCATATGTTGACTTATCAGTCACATATATTTCGCCCCCAAAGTCCAAACTGATAAGATATACATGTATATGTATATTTTGCTTCCCAATATATAAACATGATAATTTATTATAAATTTTTTATAAACCGTATACAAATAGCTACAGTATGCATATATAAAATTTTAGATTTATACAATCAGGAACCGAATTATACAAATTATGAATTTATACAAATCAGGTAAATAGCAAAAAAAACTATAGTCGCAAATTACAATTTTCTTAAAATATAGTTATAGTACCTAATACAAGCTAAATGTTTACTATTCATCGTAATTTCCCCTGAAATTTATGACATTTGTTGTTCCTTTCGGATGATAATGTTTGCCAAGTGTTTAAAAGGGAGAAGCACTGGGCTTAGGATTGGACCTTGGGTGGAGAGCAGGCCTGAGTTTAAAAGGGAGAAGCACTGGGCTTAGGATTGGGCCTTGGGTGGAGAGCAGGCCTGTGATTAAAAGGGAAAACATTGGGCTTAGGATTGGGCCTTTGGGTGGAGAGCAAGAAGAGCAGGCCTAATTTGTCTTCTCTAATGGGCCTTCGGGTAAGCCATCGATCTCTCAACTGCTATCCCAAGCTGGGCATGGAACAGGGAGTAAGTACGAATTTACTCGGGGGTATTTAAGTTTTTTTTTTTTTTTTTTTCATCCTGCGTTCGGTATCAACGAAGCCTGATAAATTCGTATTGCACCGGAAAGTCCCATATTGATGGGTATACCCCTCCCTAACAAAGGTGACTTCATACCACTCGAGCCCGAGATCTCAGATTCCCCGTTTTCCTTTCTTTCATGCGCAAAATTAATTTGCATGAACAGTACAATAAAATACAAGATTAATATTACCCCTTCTAGTC